TTATTATTATTATTATTATTATTATTATTATTATTATTATTATTATTATTTAACCAGACAAATCTCACTGAGATCACAGATTCCTTTTGCAAGGGAGTCTTGAACCTGAAGGTACCCTAAATGTGCATGATTTGAACTGTGGGAGGAAACTGGAGAAAACCCACACAAACACAAGACAAACATGCAAACTCCACACAGGAGGAGCCTATAGGTCCAAACCAGGGATTGGACCCAGGACTTTCTTGCTGTGGGGCAACAGTGTTAACCACCAAGCCATCATGCGATCAAATATTCTTAGGTACAATCAATACTCTGCAGTTAATGTTTAACACAGCAAAGTGTTTGGTATGGATCAGGGCTTGATTTGTAAACAGATCAATGCCGGAATGCAAATAGTGGGCAGGGTGGCTGGAGGGGTGTCTGTTTCTGTCAAGCATCCTACCCCCCTTGATGGTTCAGAGCCCGACTCTGTCCCTGCTCGTTGTTATCCAACTCCGCATGTGAAACCTCCAGGCGCCTCATCCATCTGGGCTCCTGCCCACGTATGACTTCCTGGTGAGCTCGGCGCTCACCCCCACCACTCTTTTAGGGCCGGAGATGCTACTTGAAGGAGCAGCTCGGCGGTTGTGTTTAAAATGAGTGTTTATGTAATTATTTTCAGTTTACATATCCAATATAAGTTTTATTCGTTCAAGGCAGTCATATTTGTTCATAACTTTATGATTAGTAAGCCTGAGAGTTACCGGATCCAAGCAAACAGCTACCGTAACACACCGTCAAAATAAGAGCGTTCTCAGCCAGATCCTGTTCTGGCAGGACCCGGCTCAAATTAAGCACTCGTATGGATGCTGTAGATTGGAGTTAAGATCTTAGATATTTTTCCACGTTTAGTCAGGCGACAGAAAACGGTCTAAATGTATAAGAATTGAAAAAAAATTGTCAAGCTCTTTTCAAAGTCAAATATTTTTGAAACAGCCAGGGCAAAGTTGCTCAACTGTAAAATAACAATAAACGAAAGAAAACATGAAGCGAGGTAAAAAGAGCATATATGACCACGACGAAGTTGTGCATTGTTGGAGGAAGCTATTTTTACTGGATATAAAAAGCACACTTCTAATTCAGGCAGGAGGGAAAGTAGAAACAGGGTCATAGGACTTGTGTTTACGGGGGCTCACTGCAGGGAGGGGCCATTAAAATAGCCTGGAATAAAAAGGAGTTTAAATATATGCATGAAAGATATTAATCAGGTGAGCATGAGGCCGACCAAGATGGTTGGATTTTATGCTACAATCCTGGCTTGAAGGCAGTTTTAACAAATCCCAAGATGGATCTCACTTTAAATGATCTAAACTCTTTCCGTCATGCCCAGTTTAGTGTTCAACATCACATCTGTCTAGCATCTGCACTCCCCTCAGCGCCCCACACTGATGTTGCACACCTTGCAGCTCGGGTCTTTCTTGGCGTTGGCTGTGGTCAGACTCATGAGCTGGTGGTGCCCGCTGATCTGCTCCACGGAGCCCTGATCCAGAGGAACCGGCCCTGTGAAAAGCACCTCCAGGATGACGTCACTGGCGTGGCAGAACACAGGCTCCTCCCCCTGCCTCTGTGGGGCAGTGTAGGTCAGGAATGGGTTAGAGGTCAAGTCCAGCAACGGGAGGCGTGTGCGACAGAACGCATCCCCTTCTGTACCGACCGGAGCCAGAACCAGCACCACATAGTGATAGGCTGTGTACATGCAGTAAAAGTCCGCAAAATACAGGCAGATGTTTGGGTTCAGCAGGTGGCCAGCTGAGATCTGGAACCGCAGAGGTCCGTAGGGAGAATCTTTGGGAGGGAGCCCAGTGTCGAACTCTGTGTTGCAGCTGAAGAAGACTCCATGCAGCTTCCCATTAATCGGAGAGCCATGACTCCCACTGTTGTCTTTCAGAGCTGGACGCATCAGTCCCCCACATTCCCTCCTAATTTGAGGGTTAAACAGAACATTGCTGTGAGCGTGACTTTTTAACAGAATAAAGAGACAGGAGAACAGCACTGACCTGACAAAGTCAAAGTACTCTGGGTGCTGGTTGCGATAAAATACAGAGAATTTCAGCAGCCGTCCTGCAGAGCCTTTGGCCTTGTCAAGAAGTTGCTGCAGGTGTTCCACAGCGTAGTCTGCAAAGTAGAATGATAAAAATGTTAGTAACAACTAAATTCACCACCTCTGTGCTTGAGCCACATGATGTTATTTTTAGATCGTACCTCCAGTGCAGAACTCCAGCACCTGGCTCCACTCGGACACCAGGTAGTCCCCGTCTGGCTGCCTGACAGCTGTTTGAATGGCGACACAGTACTCAGTCCGTGGGCTGAGGAACCAGTGTCCTCTAACCGCCATGGGGAGAGGCACGGCCTTGGCCACAAGCTTTGTTGGCACATCCTGGATGACAAAGTACCAGAGGTGATGTCAGGTCCAGGATGCAGGATTATAACAGGCTGTGTGTTTAAACATCTTCAATGCAACTCTAACTGTTGAATCAATGGTTTTCCTTCAAAGCTTTCCTGCATTTGCACACTTTTTATATTTGAAGCTAAGCTGCTGCAGCAAGGATAGTCTTATCAAATCAGCAGCTTTGTTTCAGACGAGGCCTACAAGAAGCATCACTAATTAGAGGTTCATATGTCAACAGGTCTGATGCGTCTTTATGTCACTTTATGTAGATCTTTGAGAGGGAACATCCCTTCACTTCAGTCTCTCCACACTCAGCTGTGCAGGCCATGACTCAATCAAAACACTTTTATTCTGAACACAGCCTGAATCAATAAGCTCAAATTCCTGTTCATTACTCCCATTTACAGGAAGAAGTATGTTAATGTGTTTATTTTTATAGTTTTGTTTTTATGTGCATATATATTTTATTAGAACAAAGTATTAGAGTTGTTACAATTTCATGACTTTTATTACTTTTAGCAGGTAGTGGAGCTGAAATAAACTAATTTATTTGGTCACATAAATGTAATGCTGTTATAAATCTTATGCACACAGTGAAAGTGAAAACATGTTGATAAAGGGCAGTAATAATGTATGCATTATGATATTTATTAATGAATGGATGAATCTGCGTAGATCAGGGGCTTCAGACACAAGCAGCTCACAGTTAAAACAAACACTAATAACTGCTGGACATTAAGTTTGAATGAAGAAGAGAATGTAGAAATAAATGTTTCTGTTGTGTTTCACGACTATTTTTTCATTAAATGAATACTTCAATCCTTAGAAGTAGAGCTATGTGGAAAGTTTATAAACAGTTAATATCCTACCTGTCGTAGAAAGTTTTCTGAACAACCTCAAACTGGAGAAAGAAAGTTAAATTCTGACTGGATATTGTTAAAGTTAGTTAGACTGGTTCAATATGAAAGTGGACTCCCTTAATATATAATCTAATTTCAAATTTTGAGAGACATTTTATATAAAATACCTTTACAATACTATCAAGTGTGTATGAAACTTTTATTCCAGCAGAAATATATTTCCTCATATTTCCATATTATTGCCCCAGAAGTCCCACATCTAGTTGCTGCTGCTGCTTGTGTGCTCATTAATAACAATATAATTCAATGGAAATAAGAATTACAGTAGATACAAACCTGACAGCAGTGTGAATGTTTATAAAACATCTTCATCGTGATTTTATTTTTTTTAAGTTCAAGGTTCTATATTGTCATTCGCATCACGTGTGGCACATGAGGTGGAACAAAATTGTGTACTCAAGGTCTCATTTACACCCAAAAATAAGTAAAATATAAAGTATTTAAAAAAAACAGTGTATAAGGATCTAAGATATACGCTAAGCAATAATAATGTAATATATTACAGTGAATTAAACAGCAACCTAAACATGAGTCTGCTGTGAGCAGATGGGTGTGAAGCTTATGGGTAAGAAATCAGCAGCATGGATAATCAGCAGCATGGATAATCAGCAGCACAGATAAATCACACATCACCAATGAAAGTGGCATTACAGTGATTTTCCTGGTTAAGAATTATAGTCTGGGTAGAAGTTGTTCCTCATTCTAGTGATTATACACTTAATGCAATAATAATTATAATTAATAATACATAATAATAATTAATAATAAAGTTTATAGTTCATTTTAAAATGGCAGGAATCCATTTTTAATTCAGGCCCTCCAAATCAGCTGTTAGCTCGTCGATCCGGTCAGGATTAAACTCTATTTGTCTAAACTGAGGTTGTTCAGAGAGCTGTCTGGAACAGATAAAATACAAATTATCCACAACTTTTCCACAGAAACCTACTTATAGAAATTGCACGTACCACGGTGTGCTTCACTTTAGGCAAGTTTAAAACGGTTTGGTGCTGCATTAGAACCTGTCGGCTTTTGTCCACTTTAAAAAGAAACAATGTCCAACTGAGTCACCAGCCCGAGGATGTTGACTGTGCACGTTTTCCTTTCCGCCTGTATTAGAAGTGACTGAAAGGGTGCAACGACACTGCATAGACTTTTATTTCCCTACAATTCAAAACACCACAAGGTAATGCAATACAGGTGCTAATAAAGCTATTTGACTAAAAGGACATGTTTTCTTGTCTTGCTCATGCATACAGCGTTTACAGAACTTTTTTTGGCCAGTTGCATTGTGGAAACCAGTGTAAACTAGATCAGAGGAGAGCCGAGGCTCTAGAATGCAGCTGTTTTTCTGACCCTGTGTTTGAAACGATTGGGGTCCTTGCTCTCTTTGCGGCTCAGGTCGATGAAGTAGTGTGTGGCTCTGGCAGAATCCTCTGGGGTCATGTCCCACATGATGCGGAAAGAGTCACAGGTCACCTCACAGATCTTGATGTTGCACGGTGTGGAAAGCGGGGCGTTCATTTCTGTCATCTGCCATTAGAAGTAGAGATAAACGTGAATATAGAGAGCTGAGCGTAAACACAAACACAGACACATGATAGGAGCTCATATGGGCCGAATCTACTTAAAGACGGTTACAAAAGCATCTTGGATGAACTCACTCCAGACAGAATTTAATAACAGCTCATTACAGGATTTGTGTGAGAGCTTTTTATTCGCCCTCAACAGTTTTTCCACTCCACCTCCCCTTCCTTGCCCTCATCTGACACTTCCTGTCATTACACAACTCGGTACGCTCCCAGCTGAGTGAGTAGCCTCTGTTTTCCCTCTGCATTTCATGATCTACCTCCAGCAGTCTCCAAGCAACCACATCAGCAGCCTCCCTCCCGTCTCCTCCTGGGATTCTTAGGGAAGCGGCCACGAACAGGCACACTTCTGCACGTGTCAGCAGCAATTAAACAACGGGAAGCTTTCTTGCTTTTTTTGACGAAAGTAGCAAAACTGAGCAAGTAGATCTGAATTGCTTTAGTGTTTAGGAATAAGCAGGTTTAGCAGCTGCAGGTGATGCAAGATAATTTTCTTTCTCCCTGCCAGCAGTTCAGTTCAGGTGTCTTAATGCTGGGGGCAATATGGTCACTTTAGGGAGTGCCTTCAGCACAAGGGTCAAAGTTATCGCCAAGACATCTTTATCTCTGGACTTTTCTCCTGGTTTTCCTGCATCTGGATCTCAACATCTCAAGATCAAAGCAGCATAATGTTTTCCCTTCTGTCAAAAGCATCCTTTTCCATGGATATGAAGATGTGGCTAAGAATAGCACACTCTTTTTGTTGCTCATGTGATCCTACACATGCCTGGTGAAGAGTGGAGTCGGTTTTCTGACCGCCGGGTCTCCTATGGAGCTCTGCAGTCAGGATGATGGACAGCCTGCATCAGCCCATTAAAGCCCGTGAACTGTGAAATTTGTGTTATAGCTCGTTCATACGGGGGTTGGGGGGGGGGCAAGGGGGACTGTGCAGAGGGAAGAGAGAGCTCCTTTATCACATGTGTCTCCACAAGGCTATTTTCCAGCTGCTGCTATCTTTTTCTAACCATGAAGTCTTTTCCAGCTACAGAAACTGGGGCAAGAGCAGATCCTCCCAGGACTAGCCATCAAAGCCCCCTCGAAGCCCCCCCCCCCCCCACGCCTCGGTGTGTTGGCACTTTTGGACTGGATCTGAACACAGTTCAAACACAGGTCTCAATATCATTCACACAAACCCATTGCCCTCATTTAGAAAAGAGTGAGAAAGAAGAAAGGAGGCTAATTATCTCCACCATGATATGACAGACAGCTGTTCCAATAAGGCAGCTGGTGTAACTGATAATTATAATTAGTTCTGGCATCCCAAATCATAATTTATGCAAACATGCATGCACCAAAACACACTACTGCAGTGATACATGTGAACATAGGGAAATGCAGTAAAATATTCTGATATCTAGAGAAAAGGGAGGAAGAGAAGGCAAGAATTTACGAGTTTGAATATTAAACAAAAAGCTGATAACGCCAATGTGGAAGAAGGTCTGCTCAGTGAAGTGAATAAAAAAGCTGTTAGAGGAGAATTCATGGAAAAAACTGTACAAAGCAGCAGGATTTTCAGAGGAATTTAACTGAGCATTAACAAGAAAATGGCACTACAGCAACGAGTCGGTGCAGCTGCTTGAAAACTCAAAAGACAGAGGTGAAAATGTAATCCTCAAAAAATTGGAAAAACATAATTAAAATAACATGCCAGTAAAACTCACTGAATATCACTTCATCACTTCATTGTTTTCAGCCATCCATAGAGAGATGCACAAATGCAACACAATGAGATAAATCCATGGGATTGTTCTGAAGATTAAAAGTTCAGCTACGTGCTGTAACAATCCCATGGGTTTATATTCTTGCACTCCGAAGCAGCAATGATCATTTAGCATTCCTCACTTGTTTGAAGCTCGGGTGATGGGAGAAGGATGCAGCAGCTCTGAACTGCACTTTCTTCTTCTTTTCTTTTTTCTTCTTGTCTCCACTGGTGCTGCTGAAGATAGATCTTCAAGGGAAAACTGATCACAGGAGGTGAAGCAAACACACTGGATCCTCTTTTTCTCTTCCTCCCGACTGTTTCTCTCCGTATCACACAAACAGACTTAACCCCCACCTCCCCCTGCCATCCTTCCCTCCCCCCTCCTTTCCTCCACCTCCTCCCCATCTGATTTGTTTGCTCTGATCTCTGCTGCATGGTGTTTACTCGACTCCCGTGCAGCCCTCATAGACAGGATGAATTACAGAAACGATGAGGATCAGTTTAAAAAAATGTGACTTTTTTCCAAGTGAGATGTGATCAGAGTGTCAATCCTGTCAGCATCACCGCTTCATCAGCCAACCGCACACAACACGTCACATGGCACTGAATCTGTCCTGAGGCGCAAGAATCCTCACACACTCTCTAATGTAGTCTTAACACTTGACTTCTTGCATAAATGTCAACGCTCAAATATGGTGATGCTGAAAGTGTAAAGGGGAAGGAAAACAGCTATTTTTGCATGCTCTACCAGCATATTCCAGAGATTAGACTCCAGTAGATTACATAGAGCACCATCAAGACCTCAAAAATGTACATCTGCCAACTGTTATGCCATATGGACTAACTCCACAGGGCTTTCTCTCCCCCACGGCCTATCCGGAGGCAAGGGATGCCACTATGTAAGTCCAAAGTAAGCAGATTTCCTCTGGCATTAATTTTCAGGATTTTTTTTTTTTTTTTTTGGTTTAACCTCATAGAACAATGTTGTTTTGGATTCCATTAGAGATTAAGGAAATCTTAATCAGATTATTGCAATAATCTGCAGTTGACACAATGAACACAAGCACAGGGTAAAGAGAGATAACAAGTGAGGGTACGGTTCTTTCATTAACACACAATGGCTGTAATCACAAAGTGACCATAATATATTGCCATCCCCCCCCCCATCCCCCCCCACACACACTGGAATTGAAAAGCTTTGTTTGTTTTTCAGGCAACTGAAGATAAATTATTCCTCAAAGTGTAACTAATCTGTAGTTATCATCATTAGTTGTAGTCTGACAGGCCGTCCCCAGGTAACACTATGTGCTCAGGAGAGATCGGGGTGGGGAGTTCTGTCAGGACAGAGCAATGTAGGTGTGCTCAGAAAAAAACATCTCAGCTGAGATGTAGGAACATTTTTCTGTAATTCTTAGACATTGCTTTTCTACATGTACCCGTTTGCTTATTTTTGTTTACATTTATATGCATTGTATTACTGTATGTTATATATATGAAAAAAAATACAGTATATCTGCCAATTATCTTTATAAATATTTTTATTAACTTACTTTTTATACAGTATATATGAATGCTTTTGTACAGTGCACTGGGATGACTTTTGTTGTAACTTGGCGCTATATAACTAAACTGAATTGAATTGAATATACAGTATACATATGCAATGTACTATATATCAAGTTAGAATAATTTAATTTTCACAAATTAAAAAGCAATACATTCATTTATTTATTTATTTATTATGGTCCTCTTCTGCGCACCGTTCTGCGCAGGTTTGAGCCGTGTGACGTCAGAGCGGCTCGACGCAGAGAAGTGTCATGGCGTCGTGCATTGTCGGCGTCTGTGAGTGATAGGGTTAGCATAAACTTCGTGTTGACTTTTAGACGGTGAAATATATTAAATATTTTTAAAAAAATAAGTCAAAAAGACGGCATAGGAACAATCAAGTAAGTGAAAAGAAAGAACTTCTACATTTGTTTGTATTTCGAACTGCGCACAGAACTAGTATGTTGATGTAGCTTGCTGTAAAATCGCACGTGCCTGTTGTTTTGTGCTCGTGAACAAGTCACTATTATTGAGAAATAATGTTTCAGAGTTACAAAATAAAAATAGTTAACTGTAAATAGCTGTCGTCATGGTTTTGTCTCATGTCAGAGCTGCACTTTTTATATTCTTGTTTCCTGGATTATATCATGTAAAATTCACGAACTGCTTTTTAATGTAAACTAGTTTATCGTTTTATATTGATCTAAACGCTCAAACAGTGGAAATGTCCACGTGTTTACAAGTTTGGCATAAAACTTGCCTAAACCTTTAGTAAGAGTAATGTTCGGACGTTTCTGCTAAATTTAGTTAAAAAATCAATCAATTCCTGGTGCTCAAGTCAGGCATTTTAATATTGCAGGTAAAAATTGTGAAGTTCTTTCAAAAATAAAGGCGAAATTTCAAAGGACACCACTGTCATTTACCTTGTTTAATCAGAGTCAGAGTTTCTTTATTGTCATTCGCACCTCATGTGGTTCATGTGGTGGAGCGAAATTATGTACACAGGGTCCCAGTTACATCCAACAATAAAATGTATAAGAAAAACAGTAATAACATCTAAGATATGAACTAAGAAAAACATCAACTAAATATACACTAAGCACTCATAACATAAAACATTGAACATCAGCACAAACATGAACATGAGTCTGTGAGCAGATGTGCACGCATGAACACATCAACATTAAAACAGATCAGCAGCAACATGAAACAGATCAGCAGCAACATGATATGGTTTTTCACAGTGATTATTCTAGTTAGAGATTCATGAGTCTAACAGCCTCAGGGTAGAAGCTGTTCCTCAGTCTAGTGGTTCTACACTTAATGTTCCTCAACCTCCTTCCTGAGGGGAGTGGGGCAAAAAGTGTGTGTGCTGGGTGAGTGGGGTCCTTCATGATGCAGGTGGCCCTCTTCCTGCATCTGGAGGTGTAGATGTCTGTGATGGTGGGGAGGCTGATTTCAACAGATTTCTGTGCAGCCTTCACCACTCTCTGCAAAGCTGTTCTTTCTGCAGCTGTGCAGCCTCCATGCCACACATTGATGCTCGAGCACAGGATGCTCTCCACTGCACACCTGTAGAAGGAGGTGAGGACTGAGCTTCCCAGACCAGCTTGCCTCAGCCGTCTGAGGAAGTAGAGTCTCTGATGAGCTTTCTTGATCAGGCTGGTGGTGTTGTTGCTCCAGCTGAGGTTGTCATTCAGGTGTACACCCAAGTACTTGTAGCTGGAGACCACTTCCACCGCAGATCCTCTTATGTTCAGGGGGGTGTAGATGTTTTTGTTCCTTTTGAAGTCCACAATCATCTCCTTTGTCTTAATCTTAATGTCTTGTTTGATCTATTTTACCTTCTTTTATTCTGGCTGTGGTTTTAGTTTGCAGTGATTTATTGTGTCCTGTTTTTATTGGTTTTATCTTGTAAAGCACCTTGGTCAATGCAAGGCGTTGTTGGAAAGTGCTATAGAAATAAAGTTTATTATTATTAATGTAATGATTTCATCTACAGTTGAGAACTACTAATAGGTGTCAGAAAACAGGATTCAACAGAAAATAAACCAATTCCAATGTAAGTTGGAATATTACATGGTTTTAATATATTAAAAATATATATTTCCTGCTGGGTAGAAATCAACAGGATCAGGATTGTTGTCAGTATTTTGAAAAATGACATTTAAGAAGAGTTGTGTTTTTTTCTGTTGAAAATCACCTCAGACAGAGGAAGAAACAATACAGTAGAGCACAGAGAAACTATATCTGTGTGTTTATATAGTCACACATTCAAGGCTCACATCTCCTGTTTTTTTGCTTCAGTACAGGATGGCGGACTCCGGTGACCATAGTGGTCAACGGCCGCCAACTCCCGGAGCCAGCAGTAACGTAGGACTGGTGATGGGCCGTCGACCGCCAGCTGGCATCTCTCCTGGCCGTCTCCCCTCAATGCGATCTAGAGACCTCACCCTGGGAGGAGTAAAGAAGGTAGTCCGCCACGTCTCTATGTAACTATACTACTTTCACTGAATATTGTAAAGCAGGGGTTCACAAAGTGGCGGTTCGGGTTCCACTGCAGGTCATAAGCACCTAAAGGGATGTCCTGAAATGATCTCCAGAATTCAAAAAAAAAAAAAAAAAAAAGATCGCTTGTGGTATGTTATTAGCATAATTGTTACAATAGATTAAAACAGGAGTCATAAACTGACCAAAACGTTATAATGGTTATTTATTTTGTCATGTTATCCTGTAAAATGTTATCCTATTGCTGGCTGAGCACTTCAGACAGCAATTGTTGGGGTCCCAACTCTTGTGCAGATATTTTGTGGCTCAAAAGCTGAAAAGTTTGTGCAGCAGAAGTTTCTGTGCAACCAACAGGAGTAAACTTCTAATATAATGTGAGCAGTAGGCTCAACATTCTCCAAACACTGGATCCATGATAACTTTTTATGTGTAACAAATGGGACTGGCAGTGCTTTCATCATGACTCCCTGCCATGTTAGTGCACACAACTTACATGAAACATGTACAAAAGAATTGAGTCTGGCTAAAATGTTGCAAGTTGCTCTAAATATGTTCTTAAATAATTTGCTCAAATACTACGTCTGAAAAGGGGATTGATGACGCTTCATTGTTTTGATGAAAATTGACTCAAAATTCAGAGCTGAAAGCTTTTCAGGACATGTTTGAAAGATTGGATGATGGCTGCTGCTGCAGCCAAGCTAGTCTCCTGATCACAGCCCAGCTGAGCTGCTTCTCTTCTGTTAACCTCAAAATTAGACAAACAAAAAGAGACTGAACACTTTATTTGCTGCTGTATAAATATGTCAAAATATGTGAGTTCCAGCATTTTAAAAAGCATTAATTCCTGATCCAGTCCTTCAGTTTAGATGTGAAAACCTTCAAATTAAAGCTCCCAAGGTTTTTACTTTTAAGTAAGTAATTATTTAATTGTAACTTGAAGGTTTCAGAACAAGAGCTGAAAATCATTTGTCTGCACCATAAATATATGCACCTGATGGTATTATCTCTGTTTTCAGAAAACATTTACACCCAACATCATTGGCCGAAAGGTTAAAGAAGAGTAAGTTCATAAGCGTCTTGAAGCGAACCAGAATTTATCCGACTGCATTTATTTGTTCTTTTGACGATTCTCTGCGACTGTCGCAACAGACCCAAAGCCGAAGGAGGGCAGAGGCGAGAGCGAAGGGACGCAGACCGCGGTCGGGGCCCGAGAGAGCGAGGCAGGGGCCGAGGTCGCTCAGAGGTCATCCAGTCACACTCTATTTTTGAGCAGGGGCCTGCAGAGATGATGATGAAAAGAAAAGGTGGGAAAGCACTTTTTTAACAGTGACATCTTTGTGTCTTATCTTAATTTTTTTAAAATCCAACGATGTCCCGCAGGTTCTTATGAGAATGAAAAAGATGCTCCGAGCATGGGGCCGTCCCCCATCATTAACATTAAAAAGGAGAAGAAAGAGACAGAGGAGGAGACGAAAGAGATTCTGCGCAAACTGGAACGAGACAACGTGAGGTCTTAAGTTGTCAGACATCTTTTTAATGTATTTTAGTCAAATATTTAATTGCCTCCTTGTAGTTTATAGATGACCCCTTCCTGAGGAGTGAGCAGAAGAGCTGCCCTGTTCAACTCCCTCTTGCTGTGTCGGGATGGGGATTTAAGGAGGAATTCAGCAACACCGCCCTTAAAGTTGAAAAGACTGAGGAGGACTTTGACCTCATGGAAACTGCAGTGAAAGGTAATAGCAGAAATATTGTATCTAATTTGAGTTTTTCATGCCAAACATTATCTTAGCACGCTGTCCTAATGCAAATACACTGATCTTCAGTGAAACAAGAGCCAGAGGAAGTAGAAATAAAGAAGACTGAAGCAAGTTTCAGGCCTCCTCCGCTTCCCGAGCCTGAAGTTCTTCACGACCTGCTTCATAGATGGAGTCTGAGCAAAAAGGACGAGCTGCTCTTCATTCAGCTGCCCGACTCGCTGCCTGGCCAGCCTCCCACCAGGGAGCACCGGCCAGTGAAAACAGAGGTGCAGTCAGAGGACGGGCAGTCTGTGCTTCTGAAGAAAGAGTCACAGGTTTGAGATGGAACAGGTTTCATTGTTTTCATTATGAAGTTGTGTAGATTGTGTGCGTAAACAGTCATTTAATTTGTGACAGGAAGAGGAAGCTGAAGACAACAGCTGCAGTCTGAAGGACCTACGGGAAGGCCTTGTGGGGAAGATGCTGGTCCGGAGGTCTGGCCGGGTTCAGCTCGTACTGGGACAAGTCACACTTGATGTGTCTCTGGGAACATCCTGCTCCTTCCTCCAGGTATACCAGCACTACTTTATCTCTTCGTCTCCATATTTGTATCGGTGCACCTTCACTGTTTGTCGTCTTCTCTTTCACATAACAGCAGTCATCATACACTTACAAAGTTGCACATATTTCTGACGCTTTTCTTCACTGCCCCCTCACTTTTCAGGAGCTGGTCTCTGTTCAAACACAAGAAAAAACAGGCAACGTTACTGTTTTAGGAAACGTCAGACACAAGATGGTCTGCTCCCCAGACTTTGAGGCTCTATTGGAGAAAAGCCATCACAGCTCATGATGGAGGCACTTGTTGACAAGATGGACCATCACTGTTTGGGATGTCTTTTTTGGAAACCATCCTCCAGTAGATGAAACAAATGCCGTGCTGTGTTGCAACACTGTGTTTTTAATTTAAAATATTTTTTCAAAAATGTACATGCATGTAAATATGTAAAAAAAAAAAACTTTCATTAAGTCAAAATGTTTAAGCTTCTTGCTCAGATCAGAAGACCGTACGTAGGCTTGTTTGTTTGAAATCTTCATATATTGTCTTCATGTGTGCTGATTAAAATTAAGCAACGTTGCACAGCTTTGACAATGTTGTTTCTCACTGTTATGTTTATTTGTCACATGCAGGTTAACACATGTTCAGCAGTGCAATGAAATGTTCAGAATGAGAAGAACCATTTTGACTTGCTAAAAACAAACAAGAAATACTAAAGCATGCAATAAGGGTACAAAATAAAATACCAAAAAGTGTAAAAGAAATATAATATTTACAAGGTCCAAAAGAAATGCAGTATAGTAAACTACAACGTAACATATGGTGCAAGTAGGATGACTTTGTATGATCAAGTATTTCACAGTAATATAAGCTGAACTATACATTATATTGCACATAACTAACAAACTACATAGGTTGTGTGACAGGTTACTGCACAGTAGTGAGTAACATTAAGATTAATTGAATTATGATGGTAAGGTAGTGACATACATGATACATGGCATGAGATATGACATACATGATACAGCCACATTCAACCTCTATTTATACAGGTTAGTCCCATTGAGCCTCAGGGGCTCATTCACAAGAGAGACCTGTATTTTAACAGTGATGACAACAGTGGACAATAGAAAATCAAAGGATGCGGACAATTTTTTTAACAAATGAAAATAAAATGGTAAAAGGATAATTAAAAGGAAAAGTAGTGAAAAGACAGCTAGATTGTAAGGCGGTGTAGAAAACAAAACGAACATGTCTGCGTTGGTTTTTGCCAGGAACATAACATGTTCCTTTAGAGAGGTCAAGGTCGAGAACTTCAGATCTTTTTACAAGGTGTTCCAGGAAACAGGAGTGGAGCAGGAGAAGACCCTTTTGTCTAGTTCAGTTCGCACTGAGGGAACACTGCAGGTAATGATGTCCTGAGAGCGCACGCTGCAGCTGCACTCACGCAGAGACATGTAGGAGGAGATGTATGAAGGCAGCAGACCAAGAAGTGATTTAAAGATGAAAATGTACCAGTGAGAGTCTGCGTGAAGTTAATGACCAGTGAACCAGTGAATACAGGGTGCAATGGTGGGTACGGTAGTTACAGCCAGTTATGAATCTTAGCACACTGTGATAGGCAGTGCCCAACATCTGATGATTGATGATCAGCACCACATGAGGCAACAATAAGCATATTAGCTGTCACAGATGTGGCTTGGTGCAATGTTATTGTAAATTGTTCAATATTATTATCAAGAGTTCAGTAATCTGACAGTTTGTGGGTAATAACATTTGAGTCACTGCAGCTTCTTACTATAAAATGCAAGAAAGGTCTAATAAACATTTTTGAGTTTACTCATGTTTTTGATTACTGTAGATTAAATCTTTCACGAGTGCAGCACAGAGGCTCAATAAGTCCTCCAAACTTTGATTTCTACTAGACAATAAAATACAAAAAACTACTGTGTATACAGTATAATTTTGTCCACCAGGGGTCGCTGCAGATCGCCATGTTGTTGATTTTTCCAGGGCTGGTCTAGTTGTGCCTCAGCCCGCTCGTGAGAATCGCCGGCGGGTGGAGTAGCTCAGTATCTGACCACAGTCCGCCAAACAAAGACAAAGTGATGGACGGGTGAAGCACGACTGGACCCACGCGCGACTCAACTGAAGGTTCGTTAAACAGGAAGTCCTTTAAACCTCACGGGACGTGAACACATCGTGTGGCGTTTAGGGAGTAGGACCAAATCCTCAGAAACGCCTCAGCTCAGCGCGCGTGTCAAGACTGTTAGCAAAGCGGCGAGCATTACAGCGCGGAGCTGCTCTTTTACTTCCACAAACCCGCTCTGACTTCTATTCTGAACGTTTGCAGTCGTCTTCCTGGATTTTCGAAGGCTGTTAAATTGAAGTAGAAGGCCGCGGGGGTGTCTGTTTACCATCTTTAATCGGGATGGACTCCCGTTAGCCGCTCCATCATCAGCAGCACGAGGAGGATGGAGGGCCTCCCGCTAGCTTATCTCTGCAGCTAATGGCAACAACTGACCATATCTGCTCAGTCACAGGAAAATGCACAAACAACATTCTTCAGGGTAATAAGCGCTTGTCCTACGATTTAACTAGCACCGTTTTAGCATCACTTGAATTATGCGCAGGAGATAAAGACATGGAGGATGCGGTCTTATTAAATTACAGTAATCAGTCAGGAAAGACATGTTGCTGTGAAACAGATGGACCTGACTGTATGTTTGTCTTCCTGTCTGCAGGTGTTTGTCTTCCTGAGCTGCAGTGTCCGGATTTTCACCAGACAACAGAACCACCTGCTGAGTCCAGTTGTTTTTGTTTCATTGTTGACATCTTTCTCCTCGGCAGGAGGCTTCTTTCAAACTGAGGACACCTGCATCAAGGACACTTTACAGCTGCAGCTCACCCACTCCCACCCATATCATGAACAGCTCCGTTGTAACTAACGACACTGCCCAATTGGGCAATACCAACATGTTTTGTTCTTGTATTGATTCTCCACAAACAACGAGAAGCTCCATTAACTAGTTCTCTTGATGAAGGCTCCATTGTGACAAGTGCTAAGGCCACTCGGGGCCAGGAAGTGTACACGTGTACTTCCTCTGTCACCAACTCAACCTTGTCATTCAACTGTTAGAAAAAGAAGATCCCCTTTCGCTTCAGGATGGAGCTCTTCTTCAACCCTTTTGACAACTTGCTGTGCATCCTGCTCGGCATCTCCTTCACCGTGTGGTTCACCCTGCTGCTGGTCTTCATCATCGTTCCTGCCATTTTCGGGGTGTCCTTTGGCATCCGGCGCCTCTACATGAAGACACTGTTAAAGATCTTTGAGGCAAGTAAAGACTCTGTAAACGCAAACGTTAGTCGCTGTTTTAAGGGATATAGCTGCCATTTTTGCACAGTTGCTGTAGCAACATATAATTCATGAAAGTTGCTTTTGTTCTGCTAAAAACATAGTGAACCTTTCTTTCACTTGCTGCAAATGTTGTGCATTTTATGACCGTTTTAGGGAGTTAACGCAGCTCCAGCATATTGTTTGGAGATGGCTTTACGTTTGTCTTTTATGAACTGTCTGATAGAGATGAACAGGTCTGCAGGGTATTCTTTATTTGTTATGTAATGCAGACCTTGCCATTACACTGTTTGATATGTCATGACTTTATTGTTCACTTGTTCCTTACAGTTTTTACTTTAAATAATTTAGGGATGCACAAAATTGGATTTTTGGCCAATATCCGATATGTTAAAACTTATTTGGCCAATAACCGATACCAAATACTGATATTTTTCCCTACACCTACTTACAGAGACTACATAGCTTTCTCTGCTGTGGAATTAAAATAATACATTAGTCTGCATGGTCTTTGTCAATTTGGCCTGCTGCCACATGCAGATGCCAAAAAGGATGTAACACTATATAAATATATAATCTACATAAAAAAGAGCCTTATATATCAGTGAGTTATTTTGATGGAATGGCGGATGTCCGATATTTTACTTTATCGCTTAAATCGACCGATACCGTGCCGATAATATTGTGCATCCCTAAAATAATTAAACCTTCATTGACAAAGAAGGCATTAATTTATCAGCTGCTCTCCACGGCTGTAACATCACTTTCCATCATGTGCCTCCTGAGAGCAGCCCTTGTGCCACAAATAAGTGAACCAGTGCGACACTTGAGATCTGGTCTCAGCTTCTGATTCCAGTTGCTGCTTTGAGATGTTGAGAGGAAAGGTCAAAGGTCAGATGCAGTACAAAATGTGCAGTGTAGCGAAGTGTTTGCATAGTTATGTGACAATAAATTAGTGTGTTTTAATTTAACACAACGGCTACATTATTGTTTATTTATCGCTTTAGCAGTTTGTTGCTAACTCATAAAATGTGAAAAAAAAAAGCTCTTGCCCAGTTATTTAGGTTAAATGCGTCTGCAGTAGTTACACACTGGCGTTAAAGCCACTTGCCACAGTAGCAGCGACTAGTAATATTTTGTTTTTAAAGAAAGAGCAGCTCTCTGGTCCCTGCTCTTCAAGAATCGCTCATCAGCTGCAACGAACGGTAGCAGAAAGCAAAAAGGTTTTATTGGCTAAAGCAAATTTTTTTTCCTGTTTAATTAGCACAGAAAACACAGCCCTGCAAGTTTTAAAAAATTATTATATTTTATAATCCCGTAAGCACATCTCTTTAGAGCAAATAATGGTTTTAGCACTTTTGAAGTTAAAGTTACTGACGAGGGTGAGAACTGCAAGATAAAACTCCACGGAAAGCTGCTGTTTTGCTCAGAAGTCTGTGGAAGTTCTTCTTCTTGTTCTGTTTACGACAGACACTCCTCTAAACAGCACCCAGCAGCTCAACTTTCATGCAGCAGCAAGCTTTTACCATCTCTGACTGAAGACAGCACATTTTGGAGTTGTTTCGTGGCGTGCTAGTGTCATCTGAGATTTTCTAACTAAAACTCGTGCAGCATGTCCCACTGGGGGAACGTTCTGTGCTTTTTATGCCATGTAGTGTTTTTGTTTGTGTCATAACATCCAAGTGTCCAATGTTTTAGACCATGAAAAATGAATGTTCCTCAGTTCACCTCACCTTTTCTCCAGACATTTATCAATGTGATGCAGAATTGCTTGAGCTTGAATTCAACATTTACTTTTTCTTTCTAGTGGGCCACACTAAGGCTAGAGCGAGGAGCCAAAGAAAGGAACCACCATCTGTACAAACCCTACTCAAATGGTAAGCTGCTCCTGCTGTCATTTCCTGGAAAACTGTGTTTTAGTAGTTTTGTAGGTGACTTCCATGGACATCCTGTCTGCCTGTGCTTCTGTAGCCATCATCGCCAAGGAGCCCACCTCCCTGGAGGAGGAGATCATTGAGATCCGGCGAAGCGGCAGCAACAAAGACCTGGACTCAGCCACAGAGTTTGAGATGTCCGACATCTTTTATTTTGCTCGTCGAGGAGTGGAGAGCATCATGGATGATGAGGTGACCAAGAGGTTTAGTGCCGAAGAGTTGGAGTCATGGAATCTGCTGACCCGCAGCAACTACAACTTTCACTACATCAGCCTGAGGCTGACTGTCCTGTGGGGGCTGGGCCTCCTGATCCGCTACGGGTTCCTGCTGCCACTCAGGTATTACTGATGCGCTGCTAACATAGCAGAACAACGCCATTTTTAAACCCTCGGGCCTTTGTGAAAGCTGTCACAAATAAAGGAATGGAATATTTAGAGAATTAAGTAGGGATACACGATATTGGATTTTTGGCCGATATGCTGATACGTTAAAACTTATTTGACCTATACTGATATTTTATATAGTTTCCTTTGTCAAAACATAGCCCTCTTATTTAGGCTTATTTGCTACAAAACTTTTGTAACAACTGTAAGAGCTGGTGACATATATTCACTAACAGATATATGCATAGCACTTTAACTTATATTAAATGAAAAGTGTTAAATGTTATTTATTAGCATTAGTCACCTGCGATGCTGTCTCCCTTGTGGAGTCTTGTTCCAGGTTCCTAGCTGCAGTGTGGGATCCTCTGCACTCTTGTGCATGAAGGACAGCCTTTTTAAGTTCAAAGTTTTTGTCTATCCCTAAGACTAATTACGCTAACAGGGCTAACACTTGACATCTAAATGTCTGTGGTAAAACTCACCCAACAAGTCGTGCTATCAGTTATTAGCTTCTCAATGACGTCGGAAATGACGGCTTGTAACTCTGGTAACGTTACGTCGGAAAAATATCTCCGACTGGGAACGATGTAGCGAGGCGCAACGTAGTCCATAAATCTTTGGAGTCTGACATTCTCACCAACAAAAAATAAAACTTACACACCGCCGACATTTTGACTTCTTCCTCTCTGCCGTGAGATCAGGTAGGCGCGCGTGACATCATCACGTTGTGCTGCCGCTGCAGGCGTCCTTGTCACTAAAACAGTGTCTTATATCGGTGAGTTATTTTGATGGAATGTCCGATATTTAACTTTAACGCTGATATCAGCCGATACTGATGCCATGCCGATCATATCATGCATCCCTAGAATTAAGGGATGGATTTGCCACCTTTGCCACCCACATTAAAATGTGGGTGGCAAAGGTGGAGCATCCACACCTACCTCCACCCTCGTTGGACCATTGAGCAAAGCTTTTGACCCCCACCATCTGCTCCCCCGGGCACCCTACATGTCAGCTCTCTGCTCCACACAAAGGGCTGTGGTAGCTCGTGGTCTGTGGTTGTGTCAGGAAGAACATCTGGTGTAAAATAATTGCAAAGTCTTCGTGTGAGTTAGTTTACTGTGGTGACCCCTGAAGAAGGGAGCAGCTGAAAGAAGAAAAAGATTTTTGTAGCCATTAATGGTCCGTTGACTTGTGGTCGGATGTTTCAAAGGCGTTTCAACATTTTGTTCATGGGGTTCTTGAACCTTTGAGACTGGACTTTATAAACAAAATGGATCTTACTGGAAGCTATAGGGACTGTTAACTGATGAAGAAAATGTTAACGCCTTAATTAAATGTCACTAAGCCAGTGACGAGTAAAGTAACTCTTCTGTTATGAATCTTGCACTCAGGAGTTCTGTCTTTTTAACCTTTAGACATGATGTCAAGTTTAATGCACTTCTATGTTGGTTTTCATTTCTTTTAGAAAGGTAAACTATGTTTTATCAACTACTTAATTAGTAACAGGTTAGTAAAGATATGATATAAAATGCACATCTTATTGAGGCTGATTCTTTCATGATGGTGAAGAATTGATATACATAGTTTGACCATGTAAAGTTGCCAAGAACTAAGGCTTTATTTATTTAGATGATCATAAACAGATACAGAAAATTCATCTTGATTCCCCAAACAAACGACAAAGCTTACACTAATATTTAAATTAACATTAATCTTCAGGTTGTCAGTACTTCTTAACAGCAGACGCATCATGGAAATCTCTGCGTGGGCTGAGGAACATTTCCTCAATCTACTGTCGGTAAACATTGTCAGCTGCTGCTTCCAAAATGCAAGTTAGAGTTTGTATTAAAAACAAAGCTCTAGAGATGTCAGTGCCTTTACTAGTCTCATGCCAGTATCTGGACATGGGCTGAGATAACAGAGAAGTTTGCAAACACGTGCTGGTAGATCAGGATATAAACACATCACTGCTGAACAACATATACAGTACGTTAAAGTACTTTAGAAAAGAAGCAGATAATTTTATGCCTTCATGCTGCTGTAGATTGACAGCTCTCCCTAAATGTTTACTGAGTAAAAGAGATCAGGCTCGTCTTAGAGATTCACAGCGACAGTGACTCAGCATTGAGCCAGACTGGCTCATTTCCAGTTGTCAGTGGGGAGACGAATCAGGCCACTGCTGCACGATGTCCTACTCTGCATTGTGGCTATAATAGTCTCTCATTCAGCCCTTGTCCAGTTAAAATATTGACTTTGCCTACCACTTAAATAAAACCTCCACGGCTCCTGGGTTTTTCTAATCCTCTCAAACCTTAATCTGCACATTGTCCAACCCTGGATGATTAGTTCATATAGATTATGTCGACTTGTTGGCCATTGTAAGCGTCGTCTAATGTGCCCTCCTGCTTGCTCTATGGTTATAATGGTGTGGAGAATATGAAGGCACGATGCTTCCATCTGAAAACATAACTGGACAGGATAACTACTGAGCTAATTGTTCAGTTCTTTATTTAATTTCATTTACATAATCGGTTCCTTGTTGAAGTTTTTCCTAAAGAGTCGTTTCTGTCACTCCTGTCTCTCCACCAGGGTCACCCTTGCCTTCACTGGTGTGGGCCTCCTCGTGTTTCTCACCTCTCTCATTGGGCTTCTGCCAAACGGAAGGTAGGGTTGATCACAAGGACTTTGTATGACTCCATCAGTATGTTTAAGTCAGACTTGTGGCTTGTGACCTCTCTCTGACAGGATGAAGAATTTCCTGAGTGAGAAAGTTCATTTGATGTGCTACAGAATATGTGTCCGAGCCCTGACTGCCATCATCACCTACCATGACAGGTAAAGAACCTGCAGTCTTTTCCTTGATACTGACAACGTATGTGACTGATAAAAACATCATGGGTTGGTTTGTCAGTATTTTCTGTTTCACAAGCTTTCCTGGAGTTCTCATTAACAATGTATCTGTGAAATGTTTTTACCTCGTCATAAAATGCACCTCAGCTGTGGTTTAGTACCTGGTTTAAAGGCCGCTGAAGCTGCACCTGTTTTGTATAAGCAGAGCTTAGTCACCACTTTTAGTTGTTATGTTCGCATTCAGCTGTGGTACTAGAAGCTAAATAATATATAAACAAAATCAGTAGCTCTACTAATGTTTTTGGAAATGTACAAATATATTCAGTCCCCTGAGTGATGTTAAGATATTAAAACGTTTCATTTTTACTTTTTTTGGTTATGGTTTTACCAGCTTTTTAAAGCTTTTAATTATGTAACGTAACAGATGTGTAATTAGAGAAGAAAAGGTACATAAAGTTAGGAATGCACTGATCCACTTTTTCCCCACGCCCGATCTGATACCGATACCCGTAGTTGAGTATCGGTAGATACCGATTTGATACCGATATGATACAGAGAATCAGTGCTGAATTAACAAAAATGTCTAAATCATGTCATCTGGACCTGATGACATGATTTAGACATTTTTGTTGTCTATGTGGATGATTGAGCTTACAAACCCAGTGCTGAATTAACTTAAAACATTTGTTCTTTTAAACGCAGACATGAATGTACTGAATTATAAATTTATTGTAAACTCTGCACCAGAACAGCACCCTTAAACACACCAAGAGCTTCACAAGCTTGATCAAACATGTAAAAACAACACAACTGTAATTTGTTCAGTCAGTACACTAGCACGTGATGTCACTCAGAGCACAAAGCATAGAGTTAGAGTGAATAGATCTGCCCAGTCATGGATCGGTCACATCGTCACCGATACCGATGTTGGTATCTGATCGGTGCATCTCTACATAAAATGACTTCATAGAGCTCGGTGTCGGTGCAGACAGCCTGCAGTTCATTAGCAGGCAGTCAGCTGTTTTCTACACATCACTGCAACCATAAGTGCTGTGTGTAAGTCAGTGAATATATGAGACAATGTTAAAAATCTCGGACGTTTCTTTTACATTTGGATGGTCAAACATCAGCTCCAATAGTCACAGCAGTCGCATCACAGAGAAGACTCACCTGTACAGTCTCCTGGTGATCCCCTGATTTCTTTGTTTTATTGAAAAGGATACCAATGTGTAAAACAAAAAAAATCTTCAGAATATTTCTGCAGATAGCTGTTGATTAATAATCGGGGCGGCTGTGGCTGAGTGGTTAGAGCAGTTGTCCTCCAGTGCAAGAGTTGGGGGTTCGATTCCACCAGTAGTCACATGCTGAAGTGTCCCTGGGGAAGACACTATATAAGTACAGTCCATTTCCATTTAATAATCCTGGTTTTAACAATGCTGTTCATAAAATATTTTTAACTGGGGCATTAGGTAATGACTGGAGTCATGCCAGGTCAGTAGGTGGTCCAGGATGGTTGGTGTCCAGTCTACTAAACAAGTGTAGATAAAAGTGAGCCAGAACACCTCAGAGCAAATCCATCCTAAACTGGTTCTGAATGTTCACAGCTTTATTTAGCAATGTGCAACTGGGATCAGGTCACCCAGGACAGATGTTAGTGGTAGGTCTGAACAGGGCCAAAGGCAGTGACGTTTGACCACAAAGTGACTTCAGGATCTGTATCAAAGTATTTTGCGGTCTTCTTATGAACACTAGGACTAAGCCCCTCCATCTGCAACTGGGTACTAGACTTTTTAACAAACAGACCACAGTTAGTGAGGATCCACAACCTCTCCTCCTCCACCATAACCCTCAGCACTGGCTCTCCTCAGGGATGTGTGTTGAGCCCCCTCCTGTTTACTCTGCTCACATATGATTGTGCAGCTACCCATCCAGGCTGTCACATTGTAAAGTTTGCAGATGATACAGCGGTGGTGGGATGCATCACAAACAATGATGAGTCCAGCTACAGGCAGGAGGTGGAACACCTGGAGAGCTGGTGCAGAGAGAATAACCTTCACATCAATGTGAAGAAGACAAAGGAGATGATTGTGGACTTCAGAAGGAACAAAAACACCTACACCCCCCTGAACATAAGAGGATCTGCGGTGGAAGTGGTCTCCAGCTACAAGTACTTGGGTGTACACATGAATGACAACCTCAGCTGGAGCAACAACACCACCAGCCTGATCAAGAAAGCTCATCAGAGACTCTACTTCCTCAGACGGCTGAGGCGAGCTGGTCTGGGAAGCTCAGTCCTCACCTCCTTCTACAGGTGTGCAGTGGAGAGCATCCTGTGCTCCAGCATCAACGTGTGGCATGGAGGCTGCACAGCTGCAGAAAGAAAAGCTTTGCAGAGAGTGGTGAAGGCTGCACAGAAATCTGTTGGAGTCAGTCTCCCCACCATCACAGACATCTACACCTCCAGATGCAGGAAGAGGGCCACCTGCATCATGAAGGACCCCACCCACCCAGCACACACACTTTTTGCCCCACTCCCCTCAGGAAGGAGGTTAAGGAGCATTAAGTGTAGAACCACTAGACTGAGGAACAGCTTCTACCCTGAGGCTGTTAGACTCATGAATCTCTAACTAGAATAATCACTGTGAAAAACCATATCATGTTGCTGCTGATCTGTTTCATGTTGCTGCTGATCTGTTTCAATGTTGATGTGTTCATGCGTGCACATCTGCTCACAGACTCATGTTCATGTTTGTGCTGATGTTCAATGTTTTATGTTATGAGTGCTTAGTGTATATTTAGTTGATGTTTTTCTTAGTTCATATCTTAGATGTCATTACTGTTTTTCTTATACATTTTATTGTTGGATGTAACTGGGACCCCGTGTACATAATTTCGCTCCACCACATGTACCACATGAGGTGCGAATGACAATAAAGAAACTCTGACTCTGACTCTGAACGGGGTTTAGTACTGTTTACTACTGAAGGTAGTTTTAGTCCAGACTACTCATGTTTGGTTTAACACTACTGAAGCAGGGAAGCACTCCTACTTTCAAAAAAAATTCCTGAAGTCTCATGTCTTTAGGGAAAACCTTATCTCTTAATGCCCTAACAGGCAAAATACATTTGTATGTTTTTACATTTTCTAATTGTACTCTGTCCAAATTTAATACATACTAGTGTATACACCAGGATTTCTTATCATTTCGTATCATTTTAACCAGCAGGCTTAAGAGGTCGATGTCGACTTTCTGCAAATTTGTTAATCCTTTTTAATATAAAATTGGGGTTTAACAGCAAATCAAATGAAAAACAATCTTCTGAAAATGAGCAACATTAAGCAAAATACAAAGCTTTGGTTATAATCTTTATATTTTATTTTCATGGTACAAAGCACCAAAAACCTTTTAAATTCTACCAGAATGGAGACTTTTAGATAATGATTCATAAAATTTGGCTATATATTACAGTTGATAAAATAATCAAGAGGGAAACAGGACATTTTAAATGAATATAACGTGGTATCATCAACATACGAGTTGATCAACTTGATCAAACCTTCTATGAATCTGTTGTAGCGACTGACAGCTGGACAGTTTTTCAGAACTGCGATCAGCCTTTTGGGCCCTCCATGGTCCAAAAAGCTGATCAACCCCCTTTTTTTAAAGGACACTTAAGCTTTTGTTGCCGAGAACAGAGTAAAAAGAAGAAAACAACAAACATAGACCCGACAAATCAAATAAATCAAATCCTTTTTAATAAAAAATATAAGCTTAGTGTTTATGAGGCTTTTAATGTTTTGGATCTACAACAATTTAAAACTTTATCCACCAAAATTAGTAAACTTTTGTCCTTTCTCCAAAATCTTGTTCACGTTGAGTTAAATTCACATTTTTGTGGCCCACGAGTCTTTTCATCTTGATAGTTTTGGTCCACGTATGAAAACATTTGGACATCCCTGTATGTTATCTAGAGAGCTGGTTGCATCTCTTAAAAAGTGTTACCTGATGTAAAAACTATTTTAAGAGATGCAGTATAAAACCTGATAAATTTAACAAGGGTTTGCTTTAAATTTGTCTGACATTTCAAACTAGATAGTCCTATTTTTTCCCTTCTCAAACATGAGTCACAGCTGACTTCTTGCCCTGACTTGAGTGGAGCCATGTTCATTGGATTACGTAAGGCCAGATGATACACTCTGAGAACGTAGTTGGTGTGTGCTAACAGCTGAAACCTGATCCCCTCCAGTTCTGATAAAAAGCAAGTGCGCCTTGGGCCAAACCCAGACTGTCTACCTTCATATTCTTTAGAGCAGCCATTTTGAGTCCAGATTAAGAACAAGCATTGTAACTGTCTTAAAAATAAAAATTAAAAACCCTGAAGCTTAAAGCTGTTGCTTGTAAAATAAATTAAAAAGCCACTCTTTAATTAATTGCGAACAGGTTTTGTTTACAGTTGTTTTTTGGGAGGAGACCGTATACAATGCGAGAATGTGAGAATCTAAGGAACTTGAACAGCGGCTGAACTTTATTATGTTGAAGATGACACGTGGAACAGGATGCGGAGGAGGAAGCTGTGTTATTTACTTTGTGATGAACTGTGGTTTAAATCAGCTGGTCTTGTTTGAAGTTAGGGCCACTGCATGCTTTGAATGTACCGTAAACTGACCTGTAAGATTATACCCAATCAGGGGAAATTAAATAAACCTAATAAAACCTGAACCATTAGAAGTGACTGTTTGTGATGTGCGAGACAAAGAGCTGAATCATTTCCTGCAACTTTTCACTCTGGCCACAGTCTGGCTTGTTTTAAGTGTGTTCCTCTGCAGTGTAGAGCTAAAAATAATTATCTATTTAAGATTGTAACTTTATCTGTGGCATGTGAATTGAGAACATTCAAGTCCTGCGGGTCTGGGTCAGGGCTTTTATCACAGACCTCAGCTTGCTTTGTCTCATAAAGAGGGGAAGTAGCCGTGGACCTCATTAGGTCTTGTACTGGTTGTTAGATCCTCCATTAAATAATCTTCCATGAAACATAGCTTACCTTTTTTTCCTTCATATTGTCTCAGTGAGAATAAGCCGAAGAATGGAGGCATCTGCGTGGCTAACCACACCTCACCTATTGATGTCATCATCCTGGCCAGTGACGGCTGCTACGCCATGGTAAACATGCAGGAAGCTGAAAAACACCCAACGCTGAAACACGCTTCAGTTGCAACAACTAGTTGACGTAATGTTTGTTGCAGAAATAGATGCTACTGTTTGTTTGTGTTGCTAGGTTGGTCAAATTCACGGTGGCTTAATGGGTGTCATTCAGAGGTCCATGGTCAAGGCCTGCCCTCACGTTTGGTTTGAACGCTCAGAAGTCAAAGACAGACACCTAGTGGCCAAAAGGTATTCCACTGTGTTTCTGCAGCTTTATCTGAAAACATTGCTGTTTGTCTCCATTTTCAGTAGAAAAGCTGAAAAGTATACTCATTGATATAAAATAATTTGTTCTGTTGTCATAATATTTTGTAATATGCTTCCTTGTTCTTGCTTTACAGACTGAGCGATCATGTTCAAGATAAAGCTAAACTACCTATTCTCATTTTCCCAGAAGGTGAGTTTGTTTGGTGTCCCGGTACAGATAGAAGGAGTTCATAACTAAACCAAAGTTATCTAGTTTAAGCTAAATGGGTTTTATTTTGTCCGAAATCCTCAGGTACCTGCATAAACAACACGTCAGTTATGATGTTTAAGAAGGGCAGTTTTGATATCGGTGCCACAGTCTACCCAGTGGCCATTAAGGTATCGGTTAACCTTCTTTTCACAGTAACGCGCCACATCTGGATCAGTGAATCTGACCTGCACTCTGTTTCCAAGTGTTGATGACTCATTCTCATGTATGCCTCGCAGTATGATCCCCGGTTTGGAGATGCGTTTTGGAATAGCAGCAAGTTTGGAATGGTTAACTACCTTCTACACATGATGAGCAGCTGGGCCATCGTCTGCAGCGTGTGGTACCTCCCCCCCATGTCCAGAGAGGTCATTACCTTCATGCTTCTGGGAAAATTTTAATTCTTTAATAAATCCAATGGTGCATTAAGCGCCTAAGGTTATATCTCCAGTGAGGAATTCTTTTTGTAGAGAATTATTTCCTCCCAAACCCCGGCTGGTCCAGAAAATTGCTGCCCATCCTGAGCCTGGTTCTGTTGGAGGTTTCTTCCCGTTAAAACCAAGTTGTTCATTTCCACTGTCGCCGGGATGGGAGATTGTGTAGATGTGAAGATGAAGATGGTGCTAAATAAACTAAATGGAGGGTTTTTTTTTTTTTTTGGACAATTTAATTTCCTATTAATTTTCAAAGAAAACATAACAGATGGTAAAGATAAAATACAGAACGTGCATCCTAAAGTATAACCAAATGAATTAAGTTATTATTTTATTTACTGTGACATTTTTTGTTTGGTACTTATTATTATTTATGTGTACATTCATAGTTTCTTGCTTTAAAGCAGAATCCGTGTCATGGTTTTATGTTCTGATCAAAGATTTTACAACACCAGTGCTATTAATTGTTTGAACCAGTTGTTTATCAGCATTATATTTATATGAGTCATCTCCAACAGGAGGGAGAGGATGCTGTGCAGTTTGCCAATCGTGTGAAAGCAGCTATAGCCAGAAAAGGTGGATTGGTCGACCTCCTGTGGTAAGTTATTGTTTCCACACAAAACTTTTGAAATAGAAATCTTACAATGCAGGGTTTGCTATTAGACAAAAAGGTGTTATTTCTTTTTGTTTCCTTTTATATATATATGTAAATAATCTCAACAAATATAAAGCCTCTGCAGTCATATCTCTAATTTCCACAGCCCACTTTAACCTTTGGAAGAATCAGCCACACATTTACGTTTGTCCGAGTTATTTATTTATTTTGGTGCAGTCAATAATCATGATGTTTTTCCTGACACAGCCTAAAAATCCTCCTATTAAAGTTTATTTAGTCATAATTTTTTCAAATGCTCCCGTTATCTCACACTAATATTACTACTCGTGTTCCTCATGGGAGACATTGATGATAGGAAAAATCAATTTTCAAGTCTTTTTTTTTTTTTATCCCATATTTATTATATTGTAAAATAATGCATTCCTCTCTAGTGCTTTTTCTTTTTACCTCTCCCTATACCTGTGATATAGTTTTTTTACATTAGCCCACTATGTAATGGTCCACTTTTACATTTGAAAGACGCTATAAAGATTTACAAAAACTGTAATTTTATAAAAGCTGACAATATTCTGTACCGAAATTTCTCATAAAAATTCTGAGGAAAAATTTTTTGTTTTTCAAAACACCCACTAATGAAAAATAAATCAAAGAAGAAATTGTAAAAATAGGGAGAAAAAAATTGAAATTACCATCAGGATTGAAATCTGTTATTCCCTTAAACAGGATTGAAAATTTGCTAAAATCTTTTTTTTTTTTAAACCAGAGAAAAACGGCACCACTTTACAATAAGGCTCCTTTTATAGATGGCTAATAAATAGTTTATAGATGTGTTAATTCCTCAATAAACACTTTATAAATCATTAATAATTGTTTATTATGCATTAATTAAGGGTGACGGAGACAAAACTGGCCAGTTTGTTGCCAAACAGTGATCCAAATCTGTTCACCTATTTCATCTAGAGTTGTTTTATTAAACATTTCAAACTAAGTTACTACCTTGTAAG